GATTCAATAGAGTGTAGGAAACCTTCGTATCTTAATTTAGCTTTAGATATAATATTGATCCTAACTCGAGCAGCACCCGGGTTAGTGAGACTCATTACCGTGGCGGAAAACAATATGGAGGGAAAGTCAAAGCTGCAGGGAATAGGCACGCACCGCTTATTAAAACAATGACAATAGTCCATCTCTGATAATCAATTTAATCGTCATACAAATTTTTTTATAAAAGGCAAAATTGTATAGTGCATTTACGTGCTTTTTTACCATGAAGTTCACCAAAGTTAAATCATTTTTATCCCATATTATTAGTCCATTGGCTACTTGATTGCCGCTACTGTCGATATTTATCCTTTCCTCATGTCTGACAAAGTCGTACTATTTTGCTTATTTGTTTTGCTTTAGAATTCTCGCCCTTTTATCTTTCCTGTGATGAAAAAAGCTATTGAGGACCTATTCACTCAAGATCATATTTCGGGAGAAGATATTGAGGTTTTCCAGGAAAAATACTGGGAGCAGATGGTTCCAAACTTTAGCCAAGCCCTTAAGCTTCTCGACATACATAGTATAAATAGACACAACGTCCTTTGGGTGATTGTATTTCTTCTTTTTATTTATTAGAACATTAATGACAGGCTTCTTGAGACGATCAAAAATAAAATTGAATCGAAGTCTGATGATAAAGATAAGAAAGTGCAGAGGCTGTGGCAGAGACTGATAAAAACAGGGATGGTCTATATTCATCATCCATACATGCGCTCACTTATCATGCAAGTAATGTCAAGCTGCTCTTCACTCCCTAGGTCCTAGGAAAGATGCATTCTATCAAAGATAGGCATGTTTATTTAATTGTTGACAGCAAGTATCTTTACGACGATGCTCCCTTGCCAGTTCTACGTCATATATGGTCAGCTCATCCGCAAAAGTAACTTATACAACTTTATTTTTGCCTTATAAAGTACATAAAACTCGGGCGAAGCATATGTATTCTCGATTATTCTGTGTTAATTTTTATTCATTAGGTTTCGTGAAGAGTTCGATAAAGTTTTAGTATCTTATCAAAACAATTGGATGGAATCCATGCTCGATTCCTTGTATGCTGCAATTACTTCCTCTACTTCCGCTTCTGCTGACTTGCTGCCTATGATATATTGGCCGCCTAGACGTCGTCGTAAGGATCCCTCGGTAGTCCGTATTGTGGAAATGATAGGAGATAAACAGGTTCTCTATGAAAAAGTATGTGATAAATGCATATGTTCATTTTATATCCGTTTGTGACACGAAGTCACTTC